CTTGGAAATGTTTGGGAGCAACACATTGAGATTTTCTTCCATTTTAATGGTCAACAACTGGGTAGGAAATTGGGCAAAATCTCATTAATTTATCGGCTTAATTCAAAAAATCATCTACTAACTTTAAGTTTAATTTCATTTTAGTCTAGAAAGTTTGTTTCGTTTCTAAATGATCTAGAAACTTTGAAGAATATTTCAAATTAATCTACCGTATAAAGATGACGTTAGATTGCCGTTAGATTTGAGAAAAGAGCAGTTCTTTGAGTTTTAAAAAAGTGACACTTAAATCCTAATAAAATATGATGAATCAAAAAATAGTTTATAGAGATAGATTGTAATTCAAACAGAGAAATTCAATAAGTTTAGAATAAAAAGTTTCACAGGTAAGTCTGTTTTATATGACAGACTGTGTACAATCTGTCTTATAAAATTATTTAAATGTTCATGAAAAAATAATATAAAAATAGAATTAAGGGTATTTAAATAATTTTATAAGGTGGACTGAATGTAGTCTACTCTATAAAATAAATTTCTGAAAAACACACTTAGCAAAATAAGAATAAAAACTATTTTTACTATGAATATAAATTTAAGGATTAAAAGATTAAAAGAAAAATAGTTAGAGTACTAAATTTAAGAAGATTTCCGTTAAGATTTCTATTAACTTTAATTGCCTAAATGAAATTGAAATGAACGTGAAAGATAATAGACAGAATTGAAACAATTCAAAGATAATAGATAAAATTGAAATTAAACTGAAAGTTAATAGATGATTTTTTGAATTTAGCCTTAATTTATCTAACCAATGTTTAGGAACATTGTGTGGACGACAAATTTTCACAAGAATCACACCACATGACATTAAGAAAGTAGGTAATAGCATAATGTACAATATTCCATTACATTATATAATTTAATATAATACTAAATAAATATTATAGTATTATATATAATATTTTAAAAAGTAAAGTTAATAATAAAATAATATATCTTCTTGTACTTAAGGTTTGTAAGCAATTTATTTTTTCTATTGTTATTATATTTATGATGTTACTATTTATTGAAACCATCTTTTTTTTTGTTATTTCCCCCACTGAGTAGAAAAGCTACCTAATTTCGGGCCCCAATACCAAAACCAATAAAAACATATCAAAAATTAAAAAAAATGCCATAGAGCTTTCGGCTTTTACTAAGTCAAATGGGATGGCAAAAGTCCGTAACAAGATCGCCACTTGGAAATAGTAAAAATTGTTGCCTGCAATTAGCAACTAGCAAGTCATGTTTTAGTTTGGGCCATGGCTAAGTGGTAATAGCCAGATGGTGTTGGTACATATTTGATAGTACCATCTTCTTCTTTTTTTTCTTTCTTTCTTTCTGTTTGCATTTTGTTTTTAATTTTAAATAAATGGAATGCATTTAGTGATACATGAAATCTTTTTTAATTTGATAAAAAAAAAAAAGAGTGACTGATATTTTTAATTTTTTTACTAAAAAATATTTATTTTATTTTATTTTTTTGAACAAGACAATTTGCAAGAATGAAAAGTAAGATTAATGAGGTTTGAACACACACTCACAAAGCGATTCCAACTTTATATAAAGGTTGTGGCCATTCGGCCGGGGCAAGGGATCTTTCTATTCAGCTTATTTAGAATAATGAAAACTTCTTTTTTTTTGGCACTAGGAAAACGGTGTCCAAAATTGGAAACCGAAGCATTATACTCATTTGGTATCGAACACTTTTTTTTTTTTTTCTCTTTTTGTTTCTATTAACAAAAATTTTGGTAATAAAAACAAGTATTACTCTCTATCCTAGAAAATAACTATTTTTTATTGAAAATTTAACTTAAATTAATTATTAATATTTTTTTATTATTTAAGACATTTCACTCAAACCCCAATTAACTCTAATTACACATTATAATTAAAATTTTCACTTTACTTCTATCTCTTTTCATAAAGTAATATAAATAAAAACATAAATTATTTACAAATTTACAAAATTTTAATGGATAAGGCATATATGAAGAATGCATTTATTACACCTTTTGTATTAATTAACATAAAAAAATGACTTCAAAACATATTTTATATCATAAATATATATATA